AGCCCGAAGAAAAAAGAAACAACAAGAAATACAGTCCATATTAGAAAACACGAAGAGATCTTTTATTTTGTATCCTTTGCATTTTCAATTTTGTGAGTTATTGTATCCCACAATTTTGTGAGTTCTAAGCGAATAGAGAGCTGACACTACTTTATACTGTGTAAAGATATATATTAATTGTAATGTTTATGTTATTCGTTATAATTGAAGTGGATTATTTTGTAAATTCCATAATAAAATTTAAATTACTATTAATGGTGTCCTTGTAAATAAATGCTATTTGCTGGAGGAATATTGCAGATTTAGGAAAATTGTTATAATAATGAAATAAAAAATAATTAAGAATGTACCTATTGTACACTGAATTTAATAGTGACGCCACGGAATATTCGAGAAGAAGTGAAAAAATGTACATAAAGTAAAACAAAACATCATCGGTGTTCCATGCGTGACGTTCCAAATTTGAATTTTATAATTTTACTTTTAAATGCATTATCTGGCTATTTGTGATCACAACCAAATGCAATTGGAAATGTTTATATAATATCAATGCGTTTTATATAGCAATTTTTTATATCACGTAAGTTCTAAGATCTCCAAACGGTTATTTTTTTAAGGAAATAGAGAGGTATATTGCAGTGAATTCTCCAAGTTGGCTGCATATCTAAAACATGTTAGTTCGATATCTAAAACTTGAATCTCAGATTACGTGAGTTAAAAGCACTTTGCTGACGTCTGACGTAATACCTTGACGTGACAGATTTTATCGATTGTCCGCCATTAAAATTCAAAGCTGTATGTTAAACTGCTTTAGGCATACAGTTACAAGTGTCACTCGAGAAATTGTAGGATTTATAGCTTTTGTCTATATTAATCGTATTTATTACTGTCATCGTCATAATAAACTAAAACTCAGGATGAGTTTAGAATTGTCATAAAAATCAAATCTACCGGGAAATTCTTTGCAAATCGTGTTTAAAACAATATCAAATTCAAAATGTATTTGAGTATACTGTGTGTATAAAATTAGATTTTAAAGAATTTTGCGTGAATATAAACTGCCAATGGAAATGAAAATTGCCAAATACAATTCCTGTACAACTCGTGTTAAAAATTGAAATCAGCAGTTACATATATAATAAGTTTGAGTATAGAATTATAATAGACAGCAACTGTACGGGAACTTCTGTACAAATCATGTTATAATTCGAAATCAGTTACGTACAAAATAAGTTTGAATTTAGAACTATATTAGACATCAAACGTACTAACGTAATTTATGTAAAAATCCGGTTCAAAACTGAAAATTAAATTCGAAATGAATTTGAATTTAGAATTGTAATAGAAATTATTTTGACAAAAAATCTGTACAAATCAATGTTTATCAATGCGTGCTATACCTACTTTTTCGGGGATCAGTATCATCGTATAAAAATAACTCTGCTTCGAGAGCCAAGTTCAATGTCCTGGGATATGTATAAATAAAATAAATAAACCCGACGTTTTATTTCTCCATAAATTTGGTAGTAAATGCATTTTGTGAAATGTCATTTGGAGATTTTTTGCTCGAAGAGTCGACGCTGTGGAGTGTTTGGGCATGGACAAAGTGGCATTGATTTGCGTTTTATTTGTCACACTGCTTTTATTATCTGAGTTTCTTAAACACAAGCATATTTTTTATTATAACTGTATCAGATATATGATATCAGAGGTATCAATTTAGATAATTCTTTCGAGGAAATATCATTAAATTATACAGAATTACTGAACACATTCGTAACACACCACTACTATTACATACTACTTAAATTATTGTTATTTATTGGTCGATTATTTTAAATAAATGGACTTAACAGAATATAAATGAATATAGAAATAAAAATTGAACAAAATAAATAAAAGTAAATTCTTAGCTCAGAATCTATTAAAACACACAAAGTGCTAAATATATATAATCATTAATTTATAGGTTATATACTTACGTCGCTTAAATACTGGCCATCGAGAAGAAATTTAAAAATAATTTCTGATCACTTTTTTATTCTGTGGTTTAATATTAGAATGCCATAATCTTGTTTGAAATTTATTGACCACTTAAGCGCTTAACTTAAAAGAAAAAGAAAATATAAACATTTATTTCGGTATCGGAGGCGTGGTGATATGATCGTATCGGTAATATTATGGATTTGGAATTGTTTCATATATTATGCAAATTATAAGTTTGATATTATCGCAAAAGGCGACTTGTTACGTAATGTACACGTGACCCGGCCTGGTTTCGCATGGGCATACTGTGGTCGTATATATATGCGTGTATTATGTATAGAGTATGTAAGTTTCCCGAAGGAGGTGAAGGGGATTGATGACCCCCAATGTCTCCCGTCATTATGACGAGTTAATAAAAAAATATTAAACATTTTTTTTTCGAGTCTAGCAATAGTTTGTGTTATTGACATGTGTTTTACCGTAGACAATTAATTAAAATATATATATATATATATAAATTCTTTGAAATTTTCATAATACGGAGGGCATATATTATGTTAACGTATATAAAACTTAAAAAAGTTATAAGCACAATAAAAGGCACGAACCACTAGCAATAAATAAGAAATCACTTATCGAAATCACATATCAGTAAGCTAGTCAATATTGTCATACAAATACAAATACAAATACAAATACAAATATCTTTATTTTGCCTGAAAAGTGGTTTACAGGATTTTAAAAATTATAATTTATGTATCACACTTTTCACCAGAAACTGGCATGCAAAATTAACAGTGTCCATTTATTATTATAAGATTGTACATATTTCTCAGTTTCATTTTTATTTTCTTCATTATTAAATTAAATTTAAATTTCTGGGCAAAGTATAACTACCTACTTCATGAATTAAAGTACTCATCAACAGAGTAAAAACACTTATTGATCAGCCATCTTTTTAACTCTCTCTTGAACATATTTATCGGTAGTATTTTTATATCATGCCGCAACTTATTGTAAATTTTTATTGACATACAATAAATTTCTGCTATACAAGTTTGTAGTATTGTATGGGAGAATGAGATTATTTGGATTCAAAAAATTACAGTATTCACCTTTTTTCTAAATAATTTGATATGCATTCTTACAAATATGCACACTTCGTAGATATATTGACATGGAACAGTTAATACATTTAAATCTTTGTACAGTGGTCGGCAAGATATACGTATGTCAACATTACATATTGCTCTGATGCATTGTTTCTGAGCTATAAGAACCTAGTTAGCATGATATGAGTTGCCCCAAATCAAAATGCCATATCTCAAAATGGAACTTACGTAGCCGTGATATGCCTGTAAGCTTGTTTTTTTATTACTAATTCTTGTTAATCGCCAGAGAGCATAGGCAAATGAATTCATTTTATTGCATATTTTATTAGTGTGATTTTCCCAAGAGCATCTATCATCCAATAGTATGCCCAAAAAAGTGATTTGAAGATTCTTTGATAGTGTTTCCAGCACAAGTTACGTAGATTAGTTGTTTACAGTGCACAGACTAACCTTGAATGGTGAAAGGTCATTCGCAGTTCACTGTATATGTAGATGTATATTGCTTAGTTTTACAGTACATATATAACTAAAATATAGTAATGTTTCGTTGAAATCATTATTTATGCTTACTTCTGCATTTCTGGAATGTTATGTTAAGGTTCCAAATTACTGATAAAAAAAATTACAAGAACTTTTTACAAAATTATGAACAAAAAACTAGCTAACTAGCGATTTAGCACTTTTAATTTATGCATTATATAAGTTACACTGAATTACGTATTCAATAGTAGATAGTACAAGATCCACCTAGTAGGGTACTAGATAGGGGTCTATGGTGGTTTATGAATTTTTAATGAAACCCGTTATAGAAGAAATCACTCGACGCTTTTATGACACGTGGAGAAAACATCACAATACTACTAGCTTCGAGTTTTCTTTTAGAGAAACGGGAAAGTTACAAGGTTTTTCTAGCCGATTCATAGCAGTTTCTATAGCTGTTTTCCCTGCTGTCTGTTTATGCGAGTAGAAACTGTTTCTAAGTAGAAACGTAGATTAAGTAATAACGTACATATATATCTTATATATAAAATTCTCGTGTCGCAATGTTAGTTACCATACTCCTTTGACCGATTTTTATGAAATTTTATATGCATATTCAGTAGGTCTGAGAATCGTCTTCTATCTATTTTTCATACTCCTAACTGATAAGGATTGTCCACCCCTTTTCCCTTCTCTCCTATATCTTTTAATAGCAACTTTATATGGCAAAACAACGTTTGCAGGATTAGCTAATATATACCGTATATGATACCTCACTGCACTTTAATAGAGTGGCTCACTTTAATTAATATACCTGAAAGAAAATGAAAAGATTAATTCTTATTTAAAAAACTAAAAACTTATAATTGTTTTATATTGATATTGATAATTTTATTTTCCAATTCTACATAGAATTAAAATATAAAATTGTAATTTACTTTTTATTGTAAAATGTTCAAATTAATAAATTTAAAACTTAATCGAATAAAGGATCTAATTTGTTACATATTTTATTTCTATTAGAAACATGAAAAATTTTACCACTCATTACGAATTACAACTGAAATTTCAAAGATCACGTTCTGGCTGGCTACTTATCAGATTCCAAATTTAAAATTTAAAATGTTGTTTATTATTGAATTGAAATTTAAATAATTCATTAGTGGCTTACTAAATATTGAGATTATATTTAATTGCTAACCACCGCACCCAAAGATGCCTAATGTAGAAAAATTTGAATAATCGAAATGCATAAACGGTCGGAAGTGTCCTATATGAATAAATGATTTTTATTTTGAATTTGGAACATATTATTGAACACACTATCACCACTACGTTACAACTTTTACTTACTACGCACTTTTACTATTACCACAGATAAGCTACTACGCAGTAGATTATATAATTTCTTTTTTTTTACAGATCAAAGATGGCGTCCTTACTATGGTGTGTACTGGCGTGTACGCTCGCGGTGGCGCGGGCCCAATCCAATTATGGTTCGCAGGCGAACAATATAGAGTACCAGGGCGAGGGTCTCCCTGAACAGACTGTATTGGACGGAAAGGTTAGTTTTCTTCATTATTTTATACATCATCACGATTTTAATCCCAAATAGAATAGGATGAAGCATAAGCATGATGATATTTGTAGAAATAAAGGAGCTATAGTAATGTTGGTATCCCTCATACCAATCCCTTACTTAGAGGTAAATTTCGGAAACAATTAATCATTTATATTAAACACATGCACTGTCATTAATAAAATGCATATACGTAAAAGAAAACAAATAAAAAAATTACATATTACCATAAGAGAACGTTGATACTCCTGAAAAGGCAACGCATTATAATGTTTGAATGTCGTTTTGTCTGCAGTAAATTTGGCAATCTGTGGTGATATCTGGATTTGTCAATGGGAGTTCATTTGTTTATGCCTATATATTTTAGTGCAAAAGGTTTAGTTCATCTGTAAGGATCTGTCAGGTTTTGTAACACTAACAACGAGACCCGATAGTAATAATTACTGTATTATTAGGAGAGCGGTTTGACGAATAATTTGTATATATGCTGAGATGGAGTATAATATCACCGGTACCTATTGAGTGGCAAATAGTATCGTCCGTAGAAGCATGATGTAATTGAGAACAAAAATGTTACTGGGGAACACAATTCTAAAAACAAAAAAATATTCTTAGCCGCGAATTTCGATTTTTAGGACGAAATTTAAATTCAATTTTCGAACTCTATCATTGGAATGTAGTGAACAAAACAATTTTCACGTTATTTATGGCGGTAATTTCGAATTTAGAATACGAACATTGAGAAGTTTTGCAATAACAGAATCTATAGGAATTATAGCCGTAAATACGATCTATGTATTATTACTTATGTATAGAGAATATGGATTTAAGTAGGACTCTTTCGTTAACCTACAACAATAATGACTGGGTGACCACAATGTTCCGTTTTGTGGTAAGCGATTTCAACCTGTACTAAGTGAAGTGAAGCCTACCATAGACGATGATAGAAGCAGTGTCACTTTCAACTATTTTCAACCAAGTTCTTAATTGAACAATATATTTTTATGTACTTGGTACGCGATGTTATAATTATATTTTCATATTAAAGTAGGATTTATACAGCAAATTCTTGAATATATTGAGAAGTATTATTAAATAACGTAATAATTTCAGTTATGATGACATATTTTTTTAATATGAAATATTTTTTGCTTGAAATCTGACATGAAAGATTTTTAGATATGAAAATCTGTTACGACGTTTGGAGATCAACTTATTTGCTAAATAACGAATGTCACAAATTTTTATGTCGAGACATTTTTCTTTAATATTTTACCTTTATTATTATGTAAGTATTCATAATGTTTCTAAATCTACACACAATTTCATAATAGAGGCAGTTCAGAATACAAATGGCAAGAAATACACATCACTTGCATGTGTCTTAATATGCATTCTATACGAATACGCTTATACGACTTAGTGAACGGACTATAGGATATTCAAGTCTTATAAAACTGTCAAAGTAAAGTTGTGGGCATAAATGTTGATAGTATAGATAGCGCCGGGCAGTACACAGCTGGGCAAGATATTGTTATGAGTATTGGTCAACGGACAACGTGATTGATACTGCTATTACCGATAGAATAGCCTGTGGCCATGCGGCGGACACTGACATTGAATGAACTAAGCTTTCATTGTGTGCGCAGTTTAAATTAAGAACCCTAAGGAAATTATAATATTCTGTTTATATTTTTAAATATGGAATGTTAATAGGTACGTATTATTTGAAAATAAAATCATTGACAAATGTATATATTTTTAAGAATTACCGAGGTATGGAATTCATAGTTTACCTACTTTATTGAGTCACGCGAATTATTGTTTTTTTTGTGTGTGTGGCAAAAAGAGTTCGCAAAAAATTTCAAAATTAAGAACTGTCAAAAATATGGCCCAGTGTAATAAATTTTTGACAGTTCTTAATTTTGGCGGGAAATTAATTTGACACAGAGATACGAAATTACTCTAGAACATTAGCCATAGCAAATGCTAAATGAAAGACTAGTTACTTTTAGTTCATGTTTTTAATTAATTAATAAATTTACGATAATATTTTTTTTAATACGATTTTGCATAAACAATATAATGATTTTAAAATTATATGAAATTTACGTATACTTATTAGATTTTGAATTATTTATAACTATTAAGAAGATTATACTCGCCGAAGACGTTTTGCCGCCATAAATAACGCAGTTTTGACGTATTAAATTACAAAACAGAAATAGAGTAGATAGTTGCCTCGGGACGACAATTAGTATTACTCTGTGGTATTATGAAATTATTTATAGAGCTGTTTATTATTGAATCGTAGAACATTGTTCATCGTTTTTAGGGTTTTAAATACATAATTAGTGTTTGCTGGAGGAATATTGCAGTGGTTGATATGCTTTAAATTTAAATAAAAAGAATATTTAGATTGTATTGTACGTTGATTTTAATAGTGACGCCACGGAATGTTCGAGATGGAGTGTAAAAATTGTATATAAAATATCATCGATGTTCTGTGCCTGACGTTCGAAATTTGAAATTAGAATTTTTTTTTTAAAATAAAGTAAGGGCTATTTGCGATCGCAAACATGCTCCCGGCCTAACGAAGTTCCCTTAGCACTACTTAATGTTAATCGTCAAGCATAGATTACATTAGCTTATAATAGACTTATAAAGAATACAAATAGCTGCATAGTAAAAAGAAATTACAATTATTGTGTGGACTGTATTTACATAAACTTAATGTTAAAAATTATAAGTATAAGTTACAAATACAACTATTGTTCTAGTAATAGTACAAGCTTGTGTATAGGACGGTGATATTCCCCAGTGGCAGTTTTTATAATTGCAGACCGAACCAAGTTATCACTACTATTTTTGTAGACTTGAACAATTTTGCCAAGCGGCCAACAGGCTGGTGGTGTATTCTCGTCCTTAATTAAAACAACACTTCCTACTTCTAGATTATTACACTTGCCTAACCACTTAGATCTAATCTGTAGTTCAGACAAATACTGTTTATAAAATTGCTTCCAGAACATTTGTTTGAAGCGAGTAATCCTTTGAAACAATGACAATCTGTTTTCGTTAACATTACATGTATTTGGTTCTGGTAAGTCCACAATAGGCGTCCCTATGAGAAAGTGTGCCGGAGTTAAGCACGGCATATCATAATGTTCGTCGGTCAAAGGACACAGCGGACGACTATTGAGGATACCCTCAATTTGTACAAGTACAGTATTTAGCATCTCATACGTTAAGTTACTGTTACATAACTGCCTTTTGAGTAAAGTTTTTACAGATTTGATGCCTGCTTCGTAAATACCACCCATGTGGCTAGCTAAAGGCACCGTAAAATTCCATTCTATTTTATTATTGCTACAGAAATTAACAATATTACTATATGATTTATCGTTTTTGAACATTTCGTATAATACGTTCAATTCATTATGTGAACCTCTAAAATTCGTGCCGTTGTCCGACTGAATACTAGTGCATATACCTCGCCTAGATATAAAACGCTTCAATGCATTGATAAAAGAATGCGTGGACAGATCACCAACAAGTTCCAAATGAATTGCACGCGTGGCCAAACAGATTATTAGACAGATGTATCCCTTAGTGTCTTTACAATTGCGTTGCATATTACTCCGAATATTAATGGCACCACTATAATCAATGCCGACCTGCGTGAACGCACGCACTAGAGATGCTCTGGGACTCGGCAGCGAAGACATTTGTTGCTCACAAGTTTGCGCTTTAAACCTTATACACCGTACACAGCGGTGAATCACCTTTTTAACTTTGACTCTACCATTTATAGGCCAGTATCGCAGTCTTAGATTGGCAAGAGTGTTTTGTATGCCCGAGTGTAAAAGTCTGTAGTGATACTGTTCTATGATCAAGGATGTAATGTGTGACTATGACGGTAAAATGATAGGGTGTGCATGATTATATTGAACATTTGAATGTTTAATCCTTCCGCCAACACGAATAATACCTACATCGTCTAGAAAAAGATTAAGCTTTCGTAATGGGCTACTTTTAAAAGTAAATGTGTTTGTACTTTGTAAGGTTGCTAATTCTTTCCTTTCTTTACTAAAGTAATGTTCTTGTAACATTCGAATAATAAAATTATGCGAAAAATCTAACTCAGACACTGAAAGATAGTGACGGTCCTTTTCTTTACTGCGGGTATTTTTAATAATTCTAAATACGTATGACATAACTCTATTTAGTTTAGTAAAATTAGAATACTTACAAAAATAATCTAAGTATAATGTAGAAGGTATAGTTACTGTATGCGCGGTTTGTGTTTTAACTTCAATTAATTCTAAGTTACTGTCCTGTTCTGAAAGTAACTGTGGCGTAGAAATGGGCCACTCGTTGGTATCGTAGTAGATCCAATTGGGTCTATGCCACCATAAATAAGATGACAATAACTTGTTTGTTCTAATGACATGTGTGAGTAAATTTTTATGTTTTTTGTATAAATTATAATATTTGAGAAACCTTGCCTTTAATTGTAATAAACAACGGTATGCCGTATTAAATGAGTTCCCTAGATTATTATTAATTAAATTTTCATTGATTGACATGTTAACGGTGTATCGGCCACTGTTATCGACAGTTGTGGTGTTTTGAAACAACTGCTCACAGTAGAGTTGGTCAGGAGTAAATACTGGCTTACTATTTACAATCTCTTCTTGTTTCCAAAAACGTGATAAAATCTTATTATAATTATTATTAATTGAAAGTAGACTAATTTGTTGATAGTTGTGAATCATACATGTACAATAGGCTGCTTGTTTATCAATAACAAAAGTGCCAGAAATAATCCAACCGAATACAGAATTAATTAAATGTGGTAAATTTATACCCAGAGTCATGTGACCTTGTGTAATAATGGAATAAAATAATTGACAACCTATAAGTATATCAATCTCACTAGGTATGTGAAAAGTAGGATCTGCCAGTGTGCGAGCTTGTAGTTT